AAAAATTAAATGTTTGAAAAATATATAACCGAAACTGGTCTGAGTAGCTTTTCTGTAGTTTTTGAACACCTGAAAAGTCGTAATTTGTTTCAAAAATTAAACTTTCTCGACTGAAAAAATGATTTTTTGGTGTAATTTTGCAGAACTGCTTTGGTTCCTTTTCGAAATTTTTAGAACTATACATATGTAAATGTGTGTTTTTATGCTTACCGATAACAATGACGCATTACAATTACAATCGTTGATCAACGCTTTGCCTATCTCAACCGCTTTCTCCGAAGTCATATGACTCCAGGGCGCGTTCATTGTGCCCGACTGCAACATGCCACGTTTCACTAGACCTGCCGTCACTGGCGACACAAGTTGCGCATTTACCGAACTTGAGCCGGCCGATTCGCCGAAAAGCGTCATCCAGTCAGGATTGCCACCAAAGGCATGTGCGTTTGTCTTCAACCAACGTATAGCCAATGCCTGATCCCACAATCCCATATTGCCGGGTGCCTCCTCCTCGTAACCGGGCATGGCAGGCGCTAGATGTAGGAAGCCAAAAGCGCCCAGACGATATTGAAAAGAAGCAACTATTACATTGCCCACCGCAGCCATGATGTCCGCATTATAAATGTCCAGTGTGGCAGTGCCGGTCATGAAGCCGCCTCCATAAATCCAAATCACCACTGGCAAGCCATTGGTGGTGTTTTGCGGATTTCCGTTGTGTATCAAATGATCAGTATCAGCTTTACCGGAGTGCTATAACGGAAATCGGTAGGAAGGACATATGAAAAAATAAATAAAATATGAGTTAACAACTATTACTAAGTATATACATAAATATATGTATGAATGTAGTATAGGAAAGCATAAGGTATATTTACATATATTAGTAATCGAAAACATATGTATGCTGCATAAGCAAAGAAAAAACACACTCACCTCACCACCATTAGCGCCGCGTCCATGCCTTAAACGCGCTTTCGCTGGTGCCCAAACGTTTATATACAGACAATCTTCTGAAACATTCGTATTAGGATTCCATACCTCTTCGCCGGAGAAACCGGGAAAGTATTCATATCTGTAAATGGTCGCATCAAAGAGGAAGCCATTAGTTTGCATAAGATAAGCTTTCTCTGTAACTACGTTTGTATGTATTTAAGTAGCAATTTCGCACTTGCAATTTAAAAGCTTTATTTAATTTACTGGAAAGTCAGTGTGAATTGATCCGCTTACAACTAAGCATAAATATAAAGGGAGGCCTAACACGGCTTTACTTAGTCATGCCACATTAGAGCACAAAGCAAAGATAATAATAAGCCTAATTGTTGGTGAACGGGTGCTTTTGTTCCCTTACCTCAATACTCTTACATGCACAGCAAGGTGTCCCACACTACAAGGGGAACACGTTTTTTGCGAAACTCGCTACGCATACCCTCCGTTCGGTTTTCTTTTGGCCTAAATAACGCATACAAATATAAAATTTTATCGCTTTAGGACGATAACTCCTGCCGACATGAAGTGAAAGTTGCACTAAACTTACCACACCTGGTGACAA